CAGACATACATAGTTACCTGTTCATCACTGGATCATAAGCTTCCACGGTATTCAGATAAACATTTCCATTGTGTCCACCAACCGCAAAGATTTTACCCATTTGAGTTGCAACCCCAACACCACCACGGGGTGTCGTAAGCTCTGCCACATACTCCCATTTATTTATACGTGGGTCAAATCGTTCCACAGAGCTGAGTGGAGAGTTATCATCAAAGCCACCTAAAGTAAAACAGATTTAGACTGCAAAGGGATAAAAATAAAATGACCGCTGAAACATCACCATTGGAATACAAGTTGAGCTCTTCTCCAGCGTTGTGTCTTGGTACACAGGATTCAACCAACCAACTCTATTTGTTAAAAGGAAAACACCACTGACGCACGTTTCACTGGATCGCTACAGTGCGCAACACAGCGACCAAATACAATTGCAATGACACTTACCCCGCAACAGAAAGTATATCAACTTAAAAAAGTGAAATATAATAAAATCATTGCATACAAGAAAATTAAAGTTCTATTCTCAAAATTATGAAACAAGTAAAAGGTTGGTAGTAATTTTCATGTAATAGCGTCAAGTTAACATAAATCAACACAGCAGCAGTTCCAACACTAATTCCAAGACTGCCCAACCCTGAGAACATGCTGCATTTTCTTCTGTGTAGACAGTGGAGCGGAACCAAAAGGAGCTACATGCTTCTACAAACAGAAACTTCCCTCTCAAATTCTGTTTCCCGGTAAAAACAAAATTAAGAACAAATTAGTTCATGAATGGTATAAATTATTCCACAAGACACTGGTTTCTATTGATTTTGTAGATGCATTTTATTACTTCTTAATGGATAGATCGTGCAAGACTGGACTCTCAGAATTATGCATTACAGGTAGATGGTAATCACATTGCAACCATATTATTGTAATGGTGAGCCAATTACGGTATTTAAATGCATTAAAGTTCAGTGAAAGCAGGTTGCACACAACTTCTAGTAACATTCCTATCTTCTTCTCATCCCTCACTTCTAATCCTCATGTGTTGTGTACAGTTAAACAGACTATGCATAAGCACAGTCACATATACATAAATATTTATAGGGAGCACACATTTTATCTGGTTTGACTATAGAACATAGAACAGTACAGCACAGTACAGGCCCTTCGGCCCACGATGTTGTGCCGAACTTTTACCCTAAACCTAAGGTCTATCTAACCTCCACCGCTACCTTATACTATCATCCATATGCCTATCTAATAGCTACTTAAATGCCCCTAATGAGGCCGACTCCACTACCCTCTCCGGCAATGCATTCCATGCCCCTACCACTCTCCGAGTAAAGAACCTATCTCTGACGTCTCCCTGATATCTACCTCCTTTCACTTTAAAACTATGTCCCCTCGTAAAAGCTACCTCCACCCTAGGAAAAAGTCTCTGGCTGTCTACTCTATCTATACCTCTGATCATTTTGTACACCTCTATCAAGTCACCTCTCATCCTTCGTCGTTCTAAAGAGAAAAGGCCTAGCTCTCTCAACCTTTCCTCGTAAGACCTTCCCTCCATTCCAGGCAACATCCTGGTAAATCTCCTCTGCACCTTTTCCAACGCTTCCACATCTTTCCTGTAATGAGGTGACCAGAACTGGCCACAATACTCCAGATGTGGCCGAACCAGGCTTCTGTATAGCTGGAGCATAACTTCATGGCTCTTGAACTCAATCCCTCTATTAATGAAAGCTAACACACCATACACCTTCTTAACAACTCTATCCACCTGGGTGGCAGCTCTCAGGGAACTGTGAACATGAATCCCAAGATCCCGCTGCTCCTCCACACTGCCAAGAATCTTTCCGTTAACCCTGTATTCTGCTTTCAAGTTTGTCCTTCCAAAATGAATCACCTCACACTTTTCAGGGTTAAACTCCATCTGCCACTTCTCAGCCCAGCTCTGCATTCTAACAATGTCCCTTTGTAACCTAGAACAGCCCTCCCACTGTCTACAACGTGACCCACCTTCGTATCGTCCGCGAACTTGCTAATCCACCCTTCCACTCCTTCATCCAAATCATTTACAAAAATCACAAATAGAAGAGGATCCAGAACAGATCCTTGTGGTACACCACTCTTAACTGAGCACCATGTTGAATATTTTCCGTCCACTACCACCCTTTGTCTTCTAAGGGTCAGCCAATTCTGAATCCAATCTGCCACATTTCCCCCTATCCCATGCCTCCTTACCTTCTGCATGAGCCTACCATGGGGAACCTTATCAAATGCCTTACTTAAATCCATGCATACCACATCCACTGCTCCACCTTCATCCACGTGTTTGGTCACCTCTTCAAAGAATTGACTATATATTGAAGTTGAAGATAGGAATTACTATGTCTATTAAGTCACTATATACCTTAATTCCATTGATTCTTGTTTTCAATGAACCATTTATTTCTGAAAGCATATCAATACGTAAGATTATTACTTGCCTACTATGTATAAGCAGCCATTTAATTCACCAACTCCATTTCCGGCTCTTCTTTGTCCCATATCCTTAATTTCTATCCATTTGTCCAAGTAGGGGTCATATCTCTCAACACTAGACAAAGATACCACGCCATCATTCCCACCAACAGCATACACATGGTTCTGAATGCAAAGAAATGAACAAAAGATTGGACGCAGTCACATCAGAAAACAGGAAAATGAGATGGAATCACATTGAGGCAACACTTGCTATGGACAGAAGCTCGGCACTGTACTCTTACAGCTTTGTTAGGACATGACAGAGTTCAGAATCCATTTTAATGTGTGTTTAGACCACAAATTTAAAAAAAGTGACCAAATCCTAAAAGGGTGGAATAAATGGAGACAAATTACTGGCTTCTCCAATGTTTATAATTGAAATTGCCTGAAGTGCACAAATATTTCCTCTTTTCTGTCTAGTTATTAACTGTAGTGATTGAGTCCAGACCCTCAAATTTGGAAAGACCACCAGACAATCCAAGAGGGTTGGCAACCTTACTTACAACTTCATTAGGAGTTCCTTTGAAACAACATCATAAAATGAATTCAAATGCTCCTCTTCTATTTCTTCATCAATATCCGCTCCTTTTTGTGGTGTTTACCTGGCTTCCCTCTGTGCCTTTACTTCAACCAGTGCCTGTGGTAACATTTTAGACATTTCAACCATTCACTGAGTAAAGAGATTTTTCCTGAAAACCTATAGCCCAAAGTTCTGAATTCACACTTCATCATTTCTATGTTTCATCATTTCTAATCTAAAAGGCATCCATTTACTCTCCAATCTTCAATTTTCTAGGGAAAAGGTCCTTATTTAACCTTCCCTGCTAGGGATAGCCTCTCAGTTCAGGCATATTTGTAATATTTTATTTTTAGCTTATTCTCCAGTGTCTCCAGAGTCTTTATATAATGTGTGCAGTATTCCAATTTGGGTCTAATCAAGGATCTAAGTTTAACATAAATTTGAAAATCAGAGGTTTTCCCTCTCAAACAAACCCATATGCTTTTTAAAAAAAAGTTTATAGTTTTAGAATTCATAGTCATACCTTATCTAGAAATTTCAAACAGTCTTCATTGCACTGTGGGGTGCAATTAATGTGGAGTACATAAATTGCTTTAATAGTCTTGAAATGTTCAGAAATAAAGATAACCAGAAACACAAAATGCAAGTTAGTAAGTTATGCAATACTTACTCTGAGTGCAACTGAACCTACACCACCCCTTGGTGTGTTCATTGCTGCCACAATGCTCCACAGGTCAGAGTCAATATCATATCTCTCAACATCACTAAAGCACGTATGGTCATCTAGACCACCGATGGCATAAATTGGACCCCCAAGGGAAGCCAGAGAAATGCCTCTCCTGAAGATATTAAAGTAACATTGCTTTCAGATTTGAACCAAGATCAGAATCATACCAAGTTATTCATAATTAATAATTTGTTTTTGAAACAACTTTAAAAAGTTACAATGTGTCACTCACGGAATATCAGAAAAGAAAATATACCTACAAACTCCAATAGAATAGTAAAAATAACACAATGTGGTGACAAGTATTTCACAGTAGAAGAGGTAGAAATTTAAGCACGAGTTGACTTAGGTAACACCTACCTATATTCACACTTATCAGGTAACTGATGTCATCACTGCTGGGAAATGCTAAACTATTTTAATCACCAGCACTGGCAGACCTGTGTACTAGGAGTATGAATATATAGGGTACAAAATAAGAAATTAAAACTGAAAGCAAAAGCCTAACTTAAGATTTTGCAAAAGTCTGCTTTAAAGCAGGAATTAAAGGGCAGGACTGAATTTAAAAATAACTGATGGAAAGGATTTTTGCTTCACCAGAACTTATAACTCAAACATTTCTCCATGATTTCTGAATATTTCACTATATCTTTAATCTGTTTACTGTACAATGGGAACACAGGAACAGGAGTAGGCCATTCGGCCCCTCATGCCTGTTCAATGAGATCATAGCTGATCTGCAGCCTAACTTTGCATCCTTTAACACCTCTGCTTTAAACAAAAAAAATCTACCTCAAATTTAAAATTAACAACAGATCTAGCATCAACTGCTATTTTTGGAAGATAGTTCCAAAATGCTTACCACCCTTTATGTACAGAAGTGCTGACTAACATCTCTCCTGAATTGTCTGGCCCTGATTCAGGGACTATGTCCCCTAGTTCTAGAATATCCAATTTGTGGGAACAGTTTATCTTTATCTACCCTGTCCTTTCCTGTTCATACCTTGAAGACATCGATCAGATCACTCCTCAACCTTCTAAATTCTAGAGAAAGCTGGCTTAGCTCAGTTGGCTCTAAAGCTGGCTTGTCTGCATCACAACAACACTGGCTGAGGTCACCATGAAGGACTCTCTTCCTCAATGTCTCCCTTTGCCTGAGGAATGGCAATCATCTGGTGAAACCACCACCAATCATCTCTCTCAATTGAAAGAGCAGTCCTATGGTCCAGTAAGACAATGGTGACTTTAAATTTAACCCCAAAACCCAGGTATCATTCTTGTAAACCTACGTTATGTTCTCTCTCGATCTTGTCACAGTACTGCAAGTGGGATCTAACCAAGATTTTGTATAGCTGCAGCACAACTTCAGTATCCTGTATTTCAGTCCTCTAGATATAAATGCCATCGAGGTTTCACTAACTGCCCTGCAAATCACTTTGATCAGATGTATCATCTTCACCTGGCATTTGGACAGTATGACACCAAGGGAATGAAAACGGATATTTAAAGACGACTTTAAGAGAGCTTACAGTGGTTATATAGCACTCTGGTAGTAGGACCAGAATACTTCATATAGCTCCATCCTCATCGGGAAAACGTTCTCAAGATATGTCATATGGATGTGAGAAAAATGGACACAACAGTAAATAAATGATTAGATGGAGTGACAACAGTTTGGTCAATTAAGCAACTTTTAAAGGAGGGTCTTAAAAAAATGGAGTTAGAGCAAAGTGGTAGGATTGGAAATGGAATTCCAGACTGTGGGATCTAGGCAGTTGAAAACATAATCACCAAAGATATGATGGAAAGAAATGGTCAGGAACAGAGTTCAAAAAGAAAAGGCTTTAAAGGTGCAGATACTCAAAGATTGGCACATAAAAGCAAGAGCTTAAAAAAAAGACCACAAACACTTGGGGATCAGGAGTCAAGTTACATCAATGACAAGTGAGCAAAACATATGCATGACATGACACAGCTGGGTGTTCCCAATGCACCATCAGATCACTTCTACATGGAAGATGAGCTCATTTGGTCTCCTTGCTTCCTTTTCTAAATCACTGAAATTATTTCAAGATCTAGAATGAAAGGGTGAACAGACGAGTCCTCATGTCTTCAAGGGGCAGCACGGTAGCTCAGTGGTTAGCACTGCTGCCTCACAGCGCTAGGAACCTGGGTTTGATTCTACCCTTGGGTGACTGTCTGTGTGGAGTCTGCACGTTCTCCCCATGTCTGCATGGGTTTCCTCTGGAGCTCCGGTTTCCTCCCACAGTCCAAAGGCTAGGTGGAGTGGCCATGCTAAATTGCCAATAGTGTTCAGGGATGTGTAGATTAGGTGGGTTATAGGGGGATGGGTCTGGGTGGGATACTCTGAGGGTTGGCGTGGACTTGTTGGGCCGAAGGGCCTGTTTCCATGCTGTAGGGATTCGATGATCTATGAATTTAAAGGATTGGGTTGTTCTACTTAACTCATTCATAGTGTAAATGCCATTTAAAGATAAGCCTACCTTTTAGTGTTCATGGAAGCTTTCATCATCCATTTATTTGTCAGTGGATCAAATACTTCCATGCTACCTAAATGCTCATTTCCATCATGCCCTCCAACAGCATAGACTTTCCCTGTGTTTCAGCAAATTAAAAATGATTAGAAATATTAACTGGTTTTCAAAAATAAATGTTATATAAATTAAAATATTATTCACCATCCACAGAGATTACGCCAACATGTCGTCGCCGGCTGTTCATTTCTGGTGCAAAGAACCAGCTGTTTTTACTAATCGAGTAACACTCAATGCTACGGAATGGGTCACCTGCTCCTCCTCTGCCACCAACACAGAACAGGACACCTATACCAAACAGATTAAAGAGTGAGAGACTGAATTTCATAGCTTAATATCAGAATGACTTCATCTTTTAGTAGGATAACAAAATAAGAATAAACAGTGACCATAAATCATAAAATTGGGTAATTACAGGCACTGCAAATAGATTCAAACTCACATCAAGTTTCCCTTTATTTGCTACTTTTACAGTAATGTGCAGAGTATGCAGCCAAGGGAAAGCAACATTAGTTGAAAAAAGTAAAACTTTGATGTATAATGCAATAAAGTGCTGTGCTTCACAGATTATACCATGAAAAATCTGATTAAGATTGGATTAATTGAGACTGATCTTGGAAAGTTGACAAGCTATTGTTGTGAACTCTTCGTACAGGTGGCTTAACTTCAAATCAAAAATAAATAGATTAACTGGTAGAAAGCAGTCTCTATCCTTCTCACTCTTAGAACAAAAATATACATTCCAATTGATGAAGAAAATTAATTTGAATCTGCAAGCTGCATTGTTCACTGAAATTGAATACTGTAAACGGTATTTTCATGGAAACTACATTACAATGTCAATGCTGCATCTAGAGTCAACACAAATAATTCAATATCACCTAGTTTAACAAAACAATGCCTCCAAGAAAACGGACATTTCCCAATTTATTAGAGAATCTTCTGACTATATTGTAATATGAAAATGATTGATTAAAAGCTCTCAAAGTTCATAGGGTGGGAAAATAACTTGAAGATAAGAAAAATACTAAAACACGTTTATATGAAGGATAATAATGTTCTAAGATATAATCTTATTCATACAGCAGAAAATGCATTTCACCAGGAGGTTTTTATAACAAGTCTCCATTTTTACCACCACTTTTAATTTTACAAAATAAAAATGGAACAATAAATCATCAGACGTAGCCATAAATTTAATTCCAGTTTGCTCCACTGTTAACAGCCCAACTTCCCATAATAAATTATTATGCTCCCAGTACAGCACAGCTTCTAGTTACTTGAAATCATTTGAGTATACACAGACTGTGATTTGTTTTGTGGGAAGATACGCTTAAAGCCTTTCTACCTTTGTCACTATTGCCTTTATTGTTCACAAAATAGTCTTGCTATATATTCATCAACTGATTTAGTGCACAAGGATTCCACATTTACACAATTCTTACAATCGCAATTGCTGTGGGCAGATGTTACACTTGAAGAAATATATGGAAGTTACAATAGTGACAAAATGAACACAGCCAAGCCTAGAGGTCACTTCAGTCCAATTAACTCTCACCAAGTATGTCACATCATTTGTCTGTAGGACTGAATGCCAAACTTAACAATGTCAGCCCTGTCAAGGGTGAAGGGCGAATGTAAATATGAGTGTTACAGATATTTCATGAAAGACTTGAAGAAGGATCTAACTGCAACAAATCTAATACTTAAAAACAGGAGATTACAGGTTGTGTCAACACAATTTGTAATATGGAGTTGAAAAGTTTTCTCTTCAATTGAAGTTTGTATTAGAATCATCTATCCAAATCAAATAAATAAATAACAGTTTTGTTACCAGCAGTGTGTTTTCTTGATGTTGTGCGTATGGAATATTCAAAGTCTGGTACTGGCTTGTTGCTCAACTGAAGATGGTAGTTTCTAGCTTCATCCAACAGGTCCCTGCATTTCAGATTCTGTCTGATTATGTTTTCTTTAGCCACAAACCCCATGAGAAACTCAACTGGCAACAAAGGTAATCGAACCTGTTAGTAAAGAACAACTAATTATTACAACTGACTGAATTCCTATTGCTGCTGCTACACTATTTGATTGTTTCTTTACCAAAAAGAAATAAAGACTGGTACATATATATACTGCTGCTTATGACCTCAGGATGGTCCAAAATAATGCGCAAAGTACTTTTAAAATGTAATCACTGTTGTAATGTAGGATACATGGTGTATTGATAAACTGCAGAAACAAAGTATTAAGCTTGATGATCAGCCATGATTATGTTGAATGGCCAAGCAAGCTCAAAAGACCAAATGGCCTACTCGTGCTCCTATTTTCTATGTGTCTATGTAATTCCTCCAGACCAACATTTACAAAGTAAATGTAATAACATGTATAGAAACTGGGAGATCAAATGGCATGTGATCAGGTATCTTGTGACTAGACATCATATGGTATGACAGAATTCCTACAATGTGGAAGCAGGCTATTCAGCCCATTGAGTCCACACTGACCCTCCAAAAAGCATCCACTCAGACCCACCTCCACCTCACCCTATACCTGTAACCCTGCATTTCCCATCACTGATCTACCTAGACTGCACATCCCTGGACATGATGGGCAATTCTGCATGGCCAAACCACCAAACCCGCACATTTCTGGAATGGATGTTGGCACGGACTGTAGCAGTGACAAATTCTTTGCTTCACTTTTCATTATTAATGTTTAAAAATGAAATGAGTAAAGAGCAATCTGGTTAAAGACAATAAAACATTCCGGCTTCATCTACATTGAAAACGTCCCTTGGTGCCTAATCATTCAAGACATGGCAAGACTATTTTTCAGCCAATCATCTGCTATGGTGCTGTAACTGTGCACCTCCACCACCAGCTTACTGTACGAGAAAGGATGCGCACCTTGTCTTGAATAGGTCCAGCTGTCTATCACTGCAGGTTAATTTGTTATGGCTCAGTCTTTGTCAAGGTGGCTCTACTTTCCGGCAAGACTAAACCACAGATGGGAATGTTTACTACTCAAGCTGCCTTAACTTGCCTTGCAAAGCTTCTCTGATGTCAAAAAAGTCAGTCATTTTCATCCTCTTCCTTGCTAGAGTGAATAGCTGCTTGTTGAACTGTTCGAATACATTTGCCTTATGCTTCAGGATGGCCAACAAACTTGATGGTGGAATCTCCCACTTAACAATTTTCACTTCACACCATGGTTTTCCACTTGCTGTCTCAAATTCACTATCCAATCGACAGCACTTTTGACTTTTTCACGGGTTATACTTGCAGCGTTTCAGTGAGATTGCAATGTTGAATTATGGTTTGCCTGTGTTTTTGGACACCCACTCAACTGGTTGTCATGGTCACATGGCAAGTTTGTGCAAGCTTAGCTAATCTGGAGTTACCAGTCCAGAACTTCAATTTATCACAGGATTTCCTATTCTGCAGACAGAATGGCTGATAACTTCAGCACAACAGGAGATTCGGGTTATCCAATTTTGATTCATCACAATTTCGCCAGAACAAACAAAATAGGTCATAACACAAAAAGCAAAAGGAGTACTCACGGTTGCAAGTAAAGAAATAGAAGAATTGTTCAGAGTGGGTATGAATGTGCGTGTTCAAAAGCAAAAATTTGAAAACCAAGATTAAGAGCTGCACATGCAAATAAACTGGACAATAAAAATTGGGCAGAGGGAACAGAATTCATGTTCTGAAATTGTTGAACTCGATGGTGAATTCAAAAAGCTTTAAATATGTTTAATTGAAAGATGAGGTGCCTCAAGCAAGAGTTGAAAAGAATATATCTGGGACGCATGTTTGTGGCTTAAAATTCTCGGTTGCCTAGTTTACTGGAGGGAAGAAATGAAAAAGCTTCCATTTGCCAGTCTATCCCATTTTTGTCCCAATCTCAAATTTCATGAAAGAAATGGCTGCTAATAGATGTACCATGATGCCCTGCGGCATAGTATGGATTTGAAACTGGCACTTTTCCTTTCTATTGTGGGAGAGTAGCCTGTTTCAGTTGAAGAATCAATATTTTTCTTTGAAGGAAAAGGCTGTATTTCCAAGATCACACTTTCCAAATGAGGCTGAGTGCTCCATTTCCACTAGAATGATAGCTTGGAAATACTATTCTTTATGGGCAAAGGAAGCACAACTGGGGGTGTGTGGCAGCTCAATCCATCCTGGCAATCCTACCCTCCTGCAGACATCAGCTTGGGAAGGGCCTCAAATCAGTGCCTGTGCCCACCATCCAATGGAATGTTATGACATATAAAATGAGTACAAACACACTGAAGTAAATTGTATCACAAATTCCGACACTTCTGTCTCATTTACAGAACTGCAGTTCCTTCAACAGTCCAAGCATTTCAGGAGATCAATATCTTAGAAGACAACAAATTTTCTCTACATGCCTTAAATGCAAAGCAAACACCAAATCAAATATGTAAATAAAAATTACGGTCCAACCACCATGACTAGTCATCCAGTACTTGCACAAACACCACACAGACATGGCTGATGGATAAAGATCAGGCCAAAAATATTGTACAGGAGTCAAGGGCTATTGTCTCGGTCTTTTTTAAAAATGGCGATGTAACTCATGCCTCCTTAATGTCTTTGAAATCCTACACATCCTACTCAAGTGTCCTGTTCATTAAGCTTCTCATTGTAAAGAGAGTTGTAAGAAACAGAACAGATCAGTCATTAACTGAAGAAAAACTTGTCTACACCATTCATATTATTACATTGGTAATGTTTACTGAAAACTACATTGGAGACTCAACAGTGTAAATCAGTAACTGTGTTACAAGGACTTCCTATTACATCACCATTATCAAACTACAAATAAATGTCAACCCACCTGGGCAACAACTTGATCCAACCATTTAGCGTGATGCTGTGGATTTGAGTGCAGCCACTTCATTGCAGCATTATATACTTGCTCTTCTTTTTCCACATTCAAATCACTGGATGAAAGAAGTGCGATGAGATGCTTTGGTGAAACATTTACAAAGTCTTCACATTCTACTACTTCATTAAAATGCTCACAGGCATACTTATCAGCCATGCCCATCAAGTCAACTCGGTTGTGACTTTCTGCAAAAGATCGTACCGCTAAGCAATTTGATGGGTGAAAATGGGCTTTCATGTATTCACAGCATGCCTTAGCTACATGCTCTACCTGCAGAATGCAAGCGGCATAGAGAAGAGGTTGCACGTTGTCCACAGTAAGTGTAATCCTGGAGCAATAGGCAAATCTGACAAGGTCATCTATTGCATCGCCATCAAAATCTTTAATTTCTATCAAATCTTGTTTGGCTTCAGCCATCTCAGAAAGAAACATTGCTCTGAAATAGGGAATCACACAGGCCAGCACCAATTTGTGGCAAGGGATTAAGTTTGACCCCACCTATGGAGTGAGAAAACAAAGAATATCATTTCAGTAACACAATTTAAAATGGAGCTAAAGCTATAGTCTTTGGGTGCATCCACACATGATAAGTGGCTAGATCTACTAAGCAGGGAACAATTGCTGACACAGATTACTTTCTGTACGAAACATTAATATGCAATAAACAGCAAATTAACTTCTTAAAAGTATAACATGAATATTTTGAGTATTTCTGTTCAACCAACTTATTTTACAGTTTTGATTTGCAGCATCAGATGAACTGGTTTATACGTGAACAAAATTAAGTTTAACACATTAGGGGCAAAATCTAGGTCCTGAAAAGTCAAAATATTAATTTTAATATTATTCAATATAAAAAGAAAGTAACAGTTATATTTTAATCAGAGATGATTAGCAACCCTGAAACAGGTGAACATTAATAAGCATTTGAGTGGGTGTGATAACACACACCTCAGGCAATTACTGCTAATACTTGAAGGAGTCAGATAGCTTTGAATTAAGAACTTTGAATTAAACTAATTTAATATGAGCAATATCAGAAACAGTTCATCCTTAGTTTAGAAAGTATTTGCAGCTGTGCATCAGTTACAAACCACTCAGTAAAATTACTACTGGGATCAGCACAAGTCTGTATTAAACACAAAAAAAAACACAGTTCACTCATGTACGATAACAGAATTATATATAGAATACACAGAACAGACCAGACCATTCACCTCAACTGACCCAGACCTGTATATGTTCTACATGAGCCAATGACTGAGCTATTATTATTTCTACATGCAACAATTTGATTCAAGGAAGATACTTCAAATTAAGATTTCACTCTCTTCGCTAGAACACTGGCACGAAGAGTAAAATTTTGTCACTTCAAAACTCTCATGAATTTGTTATATTAATGCCAAAGTTACCACCCTTCAAACATGAATCTTTAGTAATACATTAATTTACTAGTAGTTTCTCTAAGCTAGCTAATGATAAAAATTATACCCAGTGATTACATACGATGCAATGATTTTCAAAGCTCAATTTGTCAAAAAATTAAAGCATGCTAACATAGCAAGCTGTCATAACAATAACGTTATTGCTTACTTAAAAACAAAATTTGTATTGAAAGACTGTTTATTAAACATGTTATTCCAATTTAATAAAGATACTTAATTAACATTATACCCCGGATATTGGCCAGTTAACTGCATTAACTGCTATTTATGCTGTTGACAAGCAAATTTAATATAGTTTGTATCACATTAAAAAGACCTCTAATATGCTCCTGACAAAGGTTGGAATCAAACTGGACCAAATGCTACTGCCCCATCTAGAACATGCAAAAATACATTAGGCTAAGATGAAATTTGTTCTCTGTCACTGTAATATTCATTTCTTTTTGTATTCAGAGGATGAGAGCGTCACTGGCTGCTCCAGTATTTATTGCCCATCCCTAATAGCCCAGAAGGTAGGCAACCACATTGCTGTTGGTCTGGAGTCAAATGTAGGTCAGATCAGGTAAGGATGGCAGTTACCTTCCCTTACCGACATTAGCAAACCAGATGCATTTTTCCAACAATCAGCAATGGATTCAGTCATCAACAGACTCAATTCCAGATTTTTATTGAATTTAAATTCCACCATCTGTTATGGTTGGCTTCAAGCCCAGGTCCCCACAATATTACCTGGATCTCTGGATTAATAGCCCAGTGATAATACCTGTAGACCACAACCTTCTGCTGAAAATAAAGTACGTGAAGAGTTATTTAGACTGCCTTTATATTTCTGCTAAGTTTTTACAAATAATTATCAACATAAAATTAAGCGTATAATCAGCTTTTTAACCCTGGAGTACAGTTTAGCCAAGAAGTAAAACACCTCCAGTTGCACCAGCTGAAATATTACTCAGCGTCATTTGGTCTATTTAAGAAACTAATTAGAGAGTCCTTTTAATGCTCCAAGAATGAAGATGCTGCATACAGTCTCAAAAAATTGAGAATTTATGGATATATCAAGGTTTTGCGGATATGTGCTTACACAATATTTTCTCTAAGTAAGCTAGTGCAACGAGACCATCAAACACACCAAGGTTTATTAGCAAAACCTTGATATACCCATAAATCAATCCATCAACTGGGGGCAGCACGGTGGCTCAGTGGTTAGTACCGCTGCCTCACAGCGCCAGGGACCCAGGTTCTATTCCACCCTCGGGCAACTGTCTGCGTGGGTTCCCTCCAGGTGCTCCGGTTTCTTCCCACAGTCCAAAAATGTGCAGGCTAGGTGGATTGGCCGTGCTAAATCACCCATAGTGTTCAGGGATGTGTGGATTAGGTGGGTTATAGGGGGATGGGTCTGGATGGGATGCTCGGAGAGTCAGTGTGGACTTGTTGGGCCGAAGGGCCTGTTTCCATGCTGTAGGGATTCTATGATCTATGATCAGCATATGAGAGATAATTTGTATTAAAAGTATTAACCTTTATAGTTTTATTAAAGCATGCAATATGCAAGTTCGAAATTTCACCATGCCACCATCTGCTTCACCAATCCCCACTGTTCCACCCAACAGGTTTGCTGACACTCTTAAGCAAAAGTAGTGTATTAAATTCCACTACTAGAATAATTCTAATACAACACCACAGTGTAACTGGTAAAAATCATGCTATTAATGAGCATAAGTTCTGAAATGTTGGGGCTTGCACCAGTACATTAGGACATTGGAACATCACTGTTCAGCATTTTTTAAATTACACTAATATTCATCAAGTCCCTGTGATAGCTCAAGAAAAATGAATCTGTCATCCCACTGAATATTTAAAATGAAAAGTCCTAATGAGGACAATTATATTAAGACTGAGTTTTACATTCCTAATTTACTTTCCACTCATCCGTCGAGAGAGTGGGTTGCTGATGAGAGAAATGTGCCCTTGTTTATATTATAAAGCCTGAAGGAATGGCATTCTTCTCACCTTCAACGTTACATCACATAGTTCTTTGGCTTCGTAGAACTGATATAGAGCACGGTGGTATTCCTTCCAAGCTTCATCTGCTTCAAAAAGAAAACCTCCATCTGCTTCGGTGTCATGGCTAGACGTTCTGCTGTGAAGCCTCCTGGTCGTTAGCTGATGATGCTTCAAGTTTTCTGGAATCATATCACCTGAAGCCATTTGTTTAAATATTACGCCTTTGGCTAAGTATCTATTTGTGAGGTTCAAGACAATACCTTTTGTGGACCAAACATTTCGGCAATATTTGCAAAAGTATTCGTTCCTAGGTAAAACAAACACCAATGAATTAGCAATTTCACAGACTCTCATCCATATCAAAACGACACAGTATTTGTTAGATAATTTATATCTGAGACAAACAGAATACTACAGACCCCAACCTTTTATATTAACATTGAATCATAATAGGTGATTTTAATTCATTTTATGGCAGTGGAAAAATTTGCTTCACCAAGTAATGCAAAATCAGGTTTTATAACTGAGGTTTCAGACCAAGGGACTCATTTAAGATCCAAGTGATCATGGGATTAATTAAGACACTGGGCCAAATTTTGTTTGGGCGCAGTGCCTCATTTCAGTGCACCAATAGTCAATTTTTTTCTGGAGGAAATCCAATTTTCCCCTCTACTTTCCCAATCCAACACCATTTCTCTCTCAGTTTTGTGGTTCAGGAACATTCTGAAAGGAAAGTACAAGTGTTTTTTCACCTACAAATGTCATTATTTGGTGCTGTAATATAGATCTGTTTTTAATGCAAAGATGAATCACAGGGAACTGTCCTTTAAAGGTTAGGATGACCCCAACATTGACCAGCTTTGTGTAATTGTACACATTCATGACTGCATTTCCAACAAAGGTGGCAACATAACACAGTGAAACGTTACAAAACGTCCAGTCATCTTTTCCATCATGATTTAAATGGCTCTATGATTACAGAAAAAAAATATAATCCTAGCTTTGACACTGATAGAATGCACACAGCACACAAATGATATCATGGATCTGAGGCAACATTGGCTGACAATGGGTGTTGAGGTTTATGGAACTTTTAAACATTGTTGAGAACTGGGAATCCATACTGGAGAACCAAGTCGGCCTTCTGACTAGCCCACCTTTGCAGCTGTACTCTTTACACACTCCAGTACTGTGCACTGCAAACCCAACCAGCATAACAAATAGGAAGAAATGGTGTGTGAAGCCATATGCTGTTGGATGTATGGTTTCTGAGCTGTGCAAATCTGCAGATCAGGTTTGTCCATGCCTGATGGAAGATTAGAACAACTGTAGTGAATGGACAAGAACACAGCAGATGGAGTATAATGTGGGAAAATGAGAGGTCATTCATTTTGGTAGGAGAAACAGATAAGTAGAATATTGCTTAAGGCTGGAAAGCGTCGAAGTATAAGGGACTTAAGTTACCGAAGGCTAACCTGAAGGTGCAGCAAGCTAACAGAACGTTAGCTTTAGTTGCAAGAGGATTTGCATACAGAAATAGTGAAGTCTTGCCTCAATCATACAGCAGCTTGCATTGAAATAATTGCAGTTTAATTCATCAGTCCTAAATCGTTCTCTACTTTGTTCCTGTCTGCCTTTACTGTTTGACTTGCTCCTTTTCCCAACAGCACCAGCCCCTACCTGCATGACCTCCCCCCCCACACCCCATGGTCTAAGTCCTTCTGAACAGCTCTAGCAAATCTCCCCACCAGTACATTAGTCCCCTTCCAATTCAGGTGCAATCCATCCTTCTAATACAGGTCACTTCTACCCCAGAAGAGATTCCAGTGATCCAAAAATGTGAATCCTTCTCCTCTGCACCAGCTCCTCAGCCACACATTCATCTGCTCTGTCCTCCTATTCCTAATCTCACTAGCTCATGGCACCAGGAGTAATCCAGATACAACTACCCTCAAGGACCTACTTTTTAAATTTCTTTATTATTTGCTATATTCTGTCCTCAGAACCTCGTCCTTTTCTCTTCCTGTGTTGTTAGTTCCAATGTGTAAAACAACCTCCTGCTGGTCCCTCTCCCCTCTGAGAATATTCTACACCCTCTCCGAGATATCATTGATTCTGGCACCAGGGAGATAACACACCATTCTGGTGTCTCATTTTCAACTGCAGAAATGTCTGTCTGTGCCTCTGACTAGACAATCCCCTATCACAATTGATCATTTGGAACCTGACGTACCCCTCATTACATTAGGGCCAGTCTCAGTACCATAAACCTGGCTGTCAGTGCTACATTCCCCTGAGAGTCCATCACCTGCTACATTTTCCAAAAGTGCATACTTGTTTGAGACGGGGGATAACCACAGGAAAGTCCTGTACTATCTGCCTATCCCTCTTACCTTTCCTGAAGGCAATCCATTTACTTGACTGTATCTGTGGTTTTTCTCCCTTCTTGAAACTGCTATCTATCACATCCCCTAGTTCCTGTAAATTCATCATTATCTCTAACTGCTGCTCTAACTGATCAATGTGATCTGATAGGATTCACAACCAAACACACTGCCTGCAGACATAATTATCAGGAATGTTGAAATTCTCCCTAATCTCCCACATCCGACAGGAAGGACACACCACTCTAATAAAGGCCATCTTTGCATCTTTATCTGCAGATCCAGAAAATGGCACAGTTTTACTGCTCTAAAAACACAGCTCTAAGATAACTTAGTACCTATATTTTATATTTTTAAAGTTTAATCAAGGGACAGATCTCAATAAAACATATAATCAAAAAAACCGACTCTAATTCTTGTGGAAATTGACAAGAGGACCCTGGAAATATGTCAATATTAGCAGTTTGGACTTTAATACAAACAACAAATTAATTTATAGTTTAGTTATCGGCATTTGGAGCCCTAACATATTAAAACAGAATGATGGAAGCTTCAGCATTATACTTCTGACCTTATCTCACTTTACAGCTTTTTGATACGGCTTAAAACCTAACTCTTTGGCTAAGCATTTGATAATCTTATCTAATCACTAAAGTGGTTTGGTTTCATATTTGTTTTTTATAATATTCCTTTGAATCACCTTGACACATTTAACTACATGAAGGTGCTATTTAAATACGCACTGCAGTTGTTGATCTTAGCTACCATGTTGTTGAGGAAGTTACTGAGTGGGAACTTAGTTGTGACCCTAAAGCAACAGAAGGTTCAGGTCTGCAGTTTCAAATCTCTGGATGCCAGTTTTGAGCAGCACCACTGGAATGGAGTCAGTTCACAACTTGAGTGAATTACACACAGGGACTGTTGACCAACAGAGTCTTGGGAGGAAAGTCAAATCCAAACCCAAATTTCTTTAAGTCTTCAAGTGTGTATTGAGCCTTATGTTGAAAAATGAGGTTGCAGGAACGAAAATACTGTAAGAAAAAATGACTGTATATCAAAAGTTGCTGTCCGCTTTGAAAGAGGAAAATCCCCAGTCCAGCTAGACTATGGAGTGGCTTCAATGTCTGATGCAAAAATAGAAGCAATCTTTGATTTTTCATTCTTGTAAAGTCTTGAAAAAATTCCTCAATGTACTGTTCCAGTGAAGCAAATCCCCAGTTTTGAGCCTTTCTTAACGATATTCACTTCAAAAGTTTAAATTGTCAATGTACAATGAGGAAGAAAGTGAATTTCAGTAGACAGTTTCACCTGAAAAGGAGTAACATTCGAAGTTAAAATCATGTGTTCACCCAAACAGTTCCACTTTAATTACAGGAAATCAACAGCAACCAATCTGTGCCCAAAAAACACCTACCACCACCTGTGCTTTTTGAAAATGCATGATTATCTTGTGGATTTTACATAGATTATATTTAATCTAAAAACCAGAACATCATTACATTCATTGAACAAATACTGTTAAGCAGTTTGCAAATTAACGATTTTCCATGTTGCATTACGCATTATTTTAAACCATTACTGATTTACAGCAATTAAATTAATAAAATTACAACATTGATGTTGTATGGAAAAAGTGGCAGTCTTTTTGAAAATGGTAATATAGGTTCCTGCAAAATGACTCAAATAAAATTAAAATTAATTTCCCTGTTTATTAAGCTTGGCTCAGCTGTCAGCAGTTTGGCCTGTAAGTTAGAAGGTTCTCGCTAGAGCCTCTTGGGATGCGGGGTTAGTTTCCATAAACCTGAACTGGGAGGCCCGGGTTCAAGGCCTACCTGCTCCAGATGTGTATAATAACAGAGACAACAAGGTGCAGGGCTGGATGAACACAGCAGGCCAAGCAGCATCATAGGAGCAGAAAGGCTGACGTTTCGGGCCTAGACCCTTCATCAGAAAAGGGGGAGGGGAAGGGGGTTCTGAAATAAATAGGGAGAGAGTGGGAGGCGGATAGAAGATGGATAGAGGAGAGGATAGGTGGAGAGGAAACAAACAGGTCGAAGAGGCGGGGATGGGGCCAGTAAAGGTGAGTGTAGGTGGGGAGTTAGGAAGGGGATAGGTCAGTCCAGGGAGGACGGACAGGTCAAGGGGACGGGATGAGGTTGGTCGGTAGGAGATGGAGGTGCGGCTTGAGGTGGGAGGAGGGTATAGGTGGGAGGAAGAACAGGTTAGGGAGGCAGGGACGAGCTGGACTGGTTTTGGGATGCGGTAGGGGGAGGGGAGATTTTGAAACTTGTGAAATCCACATTGATACCATTAGGCTGCAGGGTTCCCAAGCGGAATATGAGTTGCTGTTCCTGCAACCTTCGGGTGGCATCGTTGTGGCACTGCAGGAGGCCCAGGATGGACATGTCGTCTGAGGAATGGGAGGGGGAGTTGAAATGGTTCGCGACTGGGAGGTGCAGTTGTTTATTGTAATCTGATATGGCTTCTTTGTTTGACTTTCATTTAAAATGTTTCCATTTCCCAGTGGACTTGATACTGTTTGCAGCATGAACAATTCACATTATTTCTGAATTATAAGCTACATTTCTCTGCAAGAATAGATCTTGATAGAAACTTATTAAAGGACAGCTCTATTCAATAAAGGTTCTCAAATAAGAATGAAGAAATATTTTCTAAGGTTAAAAGGTTAAATTCAGAAAGCTTGTTAAGATAATGTTTTAATGGCATGTTTGCATTCAGAGATAAAGTCAGGCGTTACACTGCCAATAGAAACAATTGCTGGAAATCAGTAAGGCAGCCAGTAAGGAGAAAGAACAGGTTAACACTGTGTAGAACCCTTTGTCAGAACTAAAAATTTGTCAGATTTAAAGAGATTAGAGGGGCGAAGATGCTGCTGAAGTTCTCTTGCTACTGTTCTGCTTAAAATGACCCAAGGGCAAAACTAGGAAAAAGGCAAATACGAAAAGTACAGATGGTCTAAGCGGCATAAAGGTATCATGCTTGTGTGGAATTTTGTCCTTTTAAAAAAGGTTAGCTGTACAAATCTAATTTGCTAATTAACTGAAGTGCCTACATTAGACATTTCTCACTATGCCAAGTGACAAAAATAAATGAAGTAGTGAAACAATGGTTTGTCTACCTCTCCTAATGTTGGTAATATCTATTTAAGGAAATGTGCCACTTGGGTGAATGACAGACCGGACTCATTTAACCTTTTACTAAACAAAGTGGAAATCAAGAAGACAGAGATTGAGAGAAACTATAAATAGCTAATGCAAATTATTAACTGTCCTTGATCTCAACCTCAAAATGACTTCAGAATATAATGGAAGCCGGTGCTGCCCAAAGACCACTCTGTAAAACAAGGACAATTACAAGTTTTAATTGCAGTAGCAATCTCAGTGCTCCATTTATGCCCATCAGCAGCATAATCAGAAAACAGCATCAAATTTTCAAATGTACATGGATAATATTTGGCTATTAATCACCACCACTGCTTTTTGATTCCATAACTTGTCAGACTGCTTGTGCAACATGCAGTTATGGATACACAGAACTTTCCTCCAATACAGGGCAGATCAATGTCACATTTTTGTTTCTCATAACAAAATCAGTTTCTTAGCTGACTCAATCCCTGGCAATTTCTTGATGCTGAAAGGTAGTGTTCTCAACTGCAGTATCGTACTTGACCTTGAAATTTGCCTCCAACAACATGCTACCTCCATAAAATTATCAGAATCTACCTTCGCTCATCTGTTGCCAGCCATAACTTTCTTTACTCTAAAGTCACCCTATTCCAAATTTTTTCTGGTGCATCAACCACATTCTACCCTCTAAGCTTAAAGTAATCCAAATTTCTGCTGTCTATGCCCTTACTTGCACCTACTTTCTGTTAATTAGTAGGTTTTTAAGAGAGGGCATAATGGAACGAAGAGAGGGAATAATAGGTAGGAAGGCAAGTGCTAAGAATGACAGTTTACAGAGGTATATAGATAGATTAATACAGTGGGTAGAAACTTGGCAAATGGAAGATAATACAGGAAGATGCAGAATATGCACTTTGGTACGAAGAAGAGGAACTGAATATTACTTCAGTTGGAGAAACAGTGCAGAAAGCTAGATCACAGAGGAAAATGGGAGTCCTCATGCATAAATTTCAAGAAGTAGGCATATACATCTAGCAGGTAACAGGGAAGGCAAATAAGTTCTTAAGAGAAGTCATACTGGTGAAAACATCATTTGCTTCTCTCTCTCCAAAGACGCAGCCAGCCCTGCAGAATTTCTCCAGCATTCTGTTTGTTTCAGATTTTCAGCACCTACAGCATTTTGCTTTTATTAAGGCAAACAGAATGTCGGCTTTTATTTCAGAGACTATTAAAGGCATTAGTCTAATCAGAGTTAGAATACTGTAACCAGTTTTCGGTCCCTTATCTGAGGAGAGATATATTGGCATTGGAGGCAATTTAGAGAAGGTTCATTAGGTTGATACCAAGTATGGAAGGATTGTCTTATAAGGAGAAATTGAGTAGGTTGGGCCTGTACTTGTTGGAGTTTATAAGTATGAGAGGTGACCTTATTGAAACATAGAAGCTTGACAGGCTAGATTGTGAAAAGTTGTTTCCTCTCAAGGGAGAGCTTAGGATCACGGAGCATAATTACAGAATAAGTGGTTGCACTCATAAGACAGATGAGGAGGAACTTCTTCTCAGAGGTTATTTGTGTAATTCTTTACCACATAGAGCTAGAGAGGTTGGTCATTAAGTAAACTCAAAGCTGAGGTATACAGATTTTTAATCAGTAAGGGAATCAAGAGTTATGGGGAAAGGTAGGAAAGTGGAGTTGAAGATTATCAGATCAGCGATGATTTCATTGAATGGCATATTAAACTTGATGGGCTGTGTGGCCTGCTTCTGCTTCTTTGTGTTATGGTCAGAATTTACCTAAATTGAGTTCACATTCGGCAGTAACTCGATTTTAATATCTAACTTCCTCCTGCTCCAAAACCAAAGATAATGGCACTCCTCTAATTCTGAACCATTTCTACTTGTAAATGCCACAGTACTGCTTGTTTTGCCATCACTAGTGAAGGTCCTAAGGTCTGGATCTGCCTCCTTATAACTCTGCACAACTCTTTTTCTTCAAGACATTCCTTAAAACATACTTCTGACCAAACTTACTTGCCCTAATACAGCCTGGTGTCAAACGCTGCTGTTTAACATTCCTGTGATGTACCCTGTGACATCTAATTACATTAAAGGCAATGTATAAAAATAAGTTGCAATATCAGTCTCATTCTTCAACAGCACTGGAACAGCTGCTTATATGGAACTCAAAACATCAGCTCCGGCAGCAGATGATGCATTATTTTTCAGTTTCAGATTTTAAAGTTTGGGACGTGTCTCTCAGCTGATGTTGACAAGTACGAAATGGTGCTGCGTGTCCGCATAGTAGCAGGTTGATCATGAGCTGAGGATTACAATTGCATGAAATTGCAGTCAAGGATGCTTTAATTCTACATTAGTGACCTAATAGTTTATTTTTGTAAAACAAGTTAGAGTTTTGTTTAGAAAAAGCACATTCCTGACTATTAGATCATTAAAATTTTTAGTATTTTTGTTTAGACATGGCAAACTGCAAGGATGTGTCAGAGACATTAAATGAAATATCCCTATATCAAACATTTGCAGCAAATCTGTCCCTCTCTTCTAAATATCTATCCTACTCTACTGTGCCATTCTAACATTGGGAGAATGTTTGGAAGCAACAGAATTCTTAAACTAAGCAGAGTGCCAAGTGCCAGATGGAAAACATTTTAAAAAGTAATCCCAATTATCACACAGCTGGAGCTGAAGAACTGCAAACAAGTAAGTTCAATTGAAGAGAAAGTTTTTTTTAAAAGTGAAAAGAAACAAGAGCAGAGGTGCAGGGTACTGAAGAGCCAAACTAAAATACATACACGCAGAGGAGTGCAGCCAAAGTCAGAACCAGAATAAGTAATAATGGGGAAAAAAAATCAAAGCTTGAGGCACTGACTAAGCATTTATAACAAGACAGAGGAGTTGACAACACAACTAGAAAAAAAATGAATATGACTTGATAGCTTTTAAGGAGACATGGTTGTAGGGTTACCAAGACTGGGAACTCAATATCCCAAGGTATTTACCTAGTCCTTTGGAATGCTGAACAAGAAAAGGGATTTATATAAGTGATTTGGATGTGGACATAGGAGGTATGGTTAGTAAGTTTGCAGGTGACACTAAAATTGGACATGTAGTGGACAGCAAAGAAGGTTACCTCAG